ATATAATCTCTTCCTGGACACTGGATGGGAATCTAGTATTAGCTGAAACATCTAATCAACTTTAATACAAATTTCAATTACTCCTTCCTCAGGGGGAAAATACATCTTAAAATGTTCCAGCCTTCCTATTGACTACCTGAGAATGGTAGTATAAATCAGCAGTGGGATGTTAGCAAAATAATAACTTATATTGTTAACTTTCTCAGCAAACTTTTGGTATGATCTTGAGAAATTTGGCCTTTTTATTTCTCATGAACAAGTCCTGAAAGATCTACAGAAGAAAGAGAGGTCAAGTCAGCCCTTCTTATAAGATGTAAAAGCCTCAGCCAGAACTGAAGGTGATACATTACCCTGAATGGGGCATTTAATTAACAACATCGTTATAGACTGCTCATGGTTCAGATCCACTGCAATGAACTAAAAGAGAAAATCAGCTGTTAACAGTTACTGCTATCTATCTACTATTGCTTTTTAGTTGGTTAGTACTCACAGAACAAGTCTACCACTGCCTTCAGGAGACTCTTACCTCAAAAGTTATTCATGATGAGCATTGTGAGATTATGATTATAGGTAGTGTCATCATCATTTGACTGAATCCTAGATCTACCAGGACATTCATATCCATTTAGTGCAAACCAGGCTAGCTCAGGGAGAGGGATTAGGTCACTCTTACTTCCCTTCTTTCTACCTAAATTCTGACTATCTGGGATAGGAGGATTTTTCCCCCTCTTGCCCTTCTTCCTCCTGTCTCACTTACTCATCTCTTTGCTATTATTTTTCCTTTTGCTTTCTGCTTAAAGATACTCAGGGTTAGAGAGGCTACTCAATATCTTTCCCCCTGTAACTCCTTTTTGAGCTTCTAAGTGAGGCAGATGAGAAGTTCGCTTCTCAGCCCAGGGATAGGTCTAAGAGTGGGTGAAAGAGGATGTTGCCTTCAGTACAGCAATAGCAAAAACAGGTCAGGAAAAAACTGACACTTTTGTAACCCTGTTCACTGCTGTCTCATTCCATTGTGGGTTTACATATTGTACCCAAGGGAAAAGAACTGGACTTTGACAGGAGCAGATGGACTACCATTTTTTCTACTTAAATTCAGAAAGTTATTGTTATCTTTAATATAATGTAAAAGGCTCAGAAGTAGTGTATTCTTCCCTAAAAGCTCTCTGCTGTTGAAGAGAAAACACAGACAGCTAATATTATTACTATGGAAGCCTAACTTAATGCCAAAAATATTGAGCTGTAGAGCTAGTTTTCAGTCTCATATTATTTTCCTTTCAAATCCCACAAGACTGTCAGAGTATCACCATGCAAGGCTCTGATGACAGCTCCCCTCAGCAAACAGCTTTTTTATGCTACCAGAATAATTAATTAAAAAAAAAAAATCCTAGAAAGACAAATACTACTTTTCTCATGCAGGAACATAGGACAGGCACTCAGCTTAATGTTACATTGTGCTGAGGTTTGAGATGTCTGTGTCAGGGACTATTGGGGCAGAGTTCCTTGACTGTACAAAGCTGGGAGTAATGAGGAGCAGCAGGGAGGTGACATTTTATCCGTGTTACTGCTGAGATCAATAACGGAACAACATGTTCACTCTGGGTGGCCACCAACCTAACAACATGTCGAGAAACTGAAAAGCACACAGAAAACAGCTGCAAAGTAACTAAGAACATAATTTTTTGAACTTTATTTATTTATTTATTTATTTATTTCCTGATAGGTTTAAGGTGGTCGGTCTGCTTCATTTAATTTGAAAAATGAATCAATGACTTCACCCCTGTGAAAGTACCTATAATGCATCACAAATAGCTTTTTGATCTGGTGATGAAACATACAGTAGGGATCGGTGGCTGGAATTATTTATAATTAGAAAAGCTCATATAGAAAGCAATACGTGATTTTTAATAATGACAAAGTTTTAGCTACTGCCAAAGGTTATCAGGTGAGATGATTTATTTACCGCTCCTTGGTGTTTTCCAACCAATAAAGGATATTCTTCCATAAGTATGCCACAGACCCAACACAGAGATTGCTTAAGTTCCCCACTAGCAGTCCACTCCTGTGGTTGGCTCAGACTTTAAGCACTCCCCCTGCACAACAAGGAATCTGCACAGGAGCCCTGCTCTGCACCACCTCACACAAAGCAGAGGCAATCTGCACACCACTGATTTTTGCCAGCCACACTACAATGGGACATGGCTTCCAGAGCAGCATAACCTGAGTTTCAACCAAAGAACAACTTTCTTCTTAGGTCCACAGTGTTGGCATATTAAGACAAACATGGATTTTTGTGGTCTGTTTTGATGCAATGGTTGAGCACACTTTGTGGTCACCTTGCCACAAGCTCCCCAAAGTGTGTGAGGACTATGATGCTAGCAGCACTTTTTTATAGCTCTTTACTATTCATTCCAGATCATATCTCTGCCAGACCCCCTTCATCCAAAGTTTACCGCAGAGTTTGAAGCTACCAAGTCACGTCCTGCTCAGGCTCAGCAGAATTGTGCTAAAATGCTGCCACCTCGTGCTGATTTGGCAATAAACCTCGGCCTCGCACTCTGCTTCTCTCCTTGCTCTGGCATTGCTCCTGCCTGAGCTGATGCAGCGGGGACAGAAACCTTCCGGAATTCCAGCTTTCAGTCTGAGCCTGCAGGCAGATGGAAGGCAAGAAACTCTCGCCTGAACCAGTACACTCCCTCTAAAGAAGTTAGAGACAGCCTATTTTTGTAACTCGGGCCCTTGTGCCATCAGCAAGACAAACACTGAACAGTCGTCTCTCTTGATATTGGCAGGAACCTTCCCAGATGCAGAACAGTTCACATGGTTAGCTTAACTCACTATACTTTTTAAAATTATTTTTTAAACTAGACAAAAAGGTAACTTCTAGGATGGTGCCTAAGTTTCCAGAGAGGAACCAAAGCTTCCCATGGAAAGGGCAATTTACCCTGTCTTATTTTTTAGATTTAGCATCCTATGCTAAAATATTTGTCTTTTCTTTTTTTTTTTTTTTTGTCCTTTTTTTTTTTTTTTTTTAAATTCTCTTCAAACCTTTTTTGTTTGTTTGTTTGTTTTTTGTTTTTATTCTCTTCTGTTATGAGCTGTGTTTAATTTATACAGAACCTATAAGCAAATCAATCCTGGGACTGTTTCTAATGATTAAGGGTTTATCACCTCTCTGGGTGTTTCACCTTAGCACTAGCACAGTTTTGAACCTGAAAGCTGCAGTGCCTGGATGAGGGGTTGTGGGGGTCACAGCTACCTCCTCACGGAGCCTTCCTCCCTGCCTGGCCAGCAGAGGTGGGCTGAGCTGTAGCGGTGCTGAGAGCCTTCAAGGAAAATGCAACAACTGTGTACAGCTAAGTTGGAGTGTAGGAAAGCTTCTGAGGAAATCAAAGCAGAGGTTACAAAGCTTTTTCTGGCTAAACTGTTTGCACTGAATACTTCAGGGCAAATCATCCATAAGATCACAGTTTTGCTCTTATTTTTTTCTCAACAGAAGTTTAATTAACAGAGAAAAGTGTGTACACTCAAATAGGCAAGCACCAAGATATCTACTGGTTTGAATAACGGTCAGCGAATGACATTAATATTTCTTTCCCTGTTATGGTGCTGATTGACTAAATCATAAATCATAAATCATAAATCATTCCCAGACAATTTTGCTAGCATTAGCTAGAAGACTCTGTTAGTTGTTGCTCTTGTTTGGCAGAACTGATTTTCCTAGGATACAAGTGATTCACAACAATAGTGTTCAGTCCAAATAATCTTCCATGGATGTTGGTAGTACAATCCAGTGGGATTACAGGAGTGAAGAGGACAACAAGGGAGGAGAAAGGAGCAGGGACATTTTCACTAGAGAGAAGCAGGGGGAGAGAGCAAAGCTGTGTTGGAATTTATACTCTGTTCCTCTTCTCTCTTAAGTGTATGCATTGCCTCCTCCCACTACCTCTCCTTTCCCTCAACTCCTTGTCGGGGATTGAGGCAGAAAAGGGCTGCACCAGGAGCCTGCAGCACTGCTTTTGGCTGCCTCCCCTATGTTTCTGGGGAAGTGCAGTCAGTAAGTTGCCTTCGTTGCTTTTGCTACTTCAGCCCATTTGCTCCTCCTGCAGCCTCTATATCCATGCTCAACCCTACAGCTGTAGCTCAGCTACAGCTGAAAAAAAAGAACCCAAATCTGGAATTTCCTAACCAGTCTAACCTTTTGGGTGTATGGTGAACTCCTGAGCACTGGTATTCATTTCTAAAATTCTCCTCCTTCCTTCCTTTTGCTCCTCAGTGTTCATTTTCACCATTTCCCTCTGAGCCTTACTGTTCTTGCTGATTTCCGTAAACACTGAGATGATCCTTGATTGGGGAATCACTAACCTACACACTCACAGGTAGTGGTGGGCATCTGCCCTACCATCCTCACACCTGCTAGGATATCATGTTCAAGCACTTCAGATTTATGAGATTGACTGAATAGCTATGAAAGCTGAACATCTTAAGGGGAGGAAAAGCTGTATCTTCTCCTCCTGATTTTAAAACCTTTAAGATTTTATACTTTTTAAATTATTTTTTTTTAATTTTTTTTTACCCTCTGTCTAGACAGTCTCAATGTGGCAACTCAACATTGTGCATTTAATAAAAGGAGGGAGGACTGCAAAATAGCACAAGTAGTATGAGGTTAAAAACTCTGGGACATCTGACTCTGGACGTTTTGCTCAGTGGGTGGAAAGTGCCCAGCAGTCAGTCTTACACTAAAAATGATTTACTTATCTCCATAAACATGCCAGTAGATGTCCACGAGCCTACGTGCAGATGGACTATTTATCCATCTCTGGGTGTGAGGTGAAGATCTTTGCCCCAGGCTTTTGGTCAGACATTCAGAACATTCCCCAGGCTGTCAGTTGCATATATATCATAGCTATGATTTTGCAGCCAGAAAAAATGAGATAATCCAAGCATCACTCATGCACTCACTTGCATGCACGCATACACCCCTAATTCTTCATATTATCTGAGTTTACCAAATGCAAGTGTTATATGATTCAGTCCATAACCCTTTTTCATATACTGAAGGGAGATCCTGAGCTATGGACAGGAAGATGAAGAGCAGAAAAAAATAAAAAATACTACAGTTTCCTGTTATAGGTAGGTGTGAGAAAGGTAACTGTGGCTTCTAAAATATGATTAATAAAATAGTTTATGGGAAGGGACGAGCATATGTGGGGTACTAAACTGCATTAATCTTTGGGATGAACTATGTTGATTTTTTTGTTGATGTTTTGTTTTTAGTATCTACCATATAAAGTAAAAAAAACTTAATAGTTATTTTATTTTCTGTTTTCTGAATAGAGCTCCAGCTGTATGCATTTTTATTTTTCCATATAGCAGATGGTTATTTTAATTCCAGAGGAATAAGATAGAAATAGACAAACACATGGCTCCAACAAATATTTTGGTAGTGTGTATCTATGTGCACCCTCATTTGGCTTAACAATTTAATTTGTACAATTGTTCCCTCCCCCCCCCCTCACCCTCCACTCCCTTTGATAAGCATGCATCACCTGTGAGAGCTGTAAATGAACCTTGGGTTTTGCGGTGCAGAAACAACAGGGCATAAGTCTATGGCTGTGTACCTGGCAAACAAGTCACCCAGATGTGTCATGCGATATCATATTTAATAGAACTACTTTCAAGTCAATGCATTTTCAGTCCAGGTGTTAGTAGAAGCAACTGGGCTTTTAAAGTTTTAAGGATCTACTGTGGCCAGAGGAGCTATGTTAAGAGGATGCACTTGCCATTTTGGAAATCTGCTGTTGCTGGTGAGGTCTGCAAGGTTAAAAGCCCTATCTTCTTGGAAAGCTCTCAGACAAAATATTGATTCATACTTGAGTATTACAACTGCTGTAAGTTCTGTTATTATTGTCTTCCTCCTCCTCCCCCACCCCCCTTTTTTTTTTTGTATTTTTCTAGAATCTTTGATTAATTCATTTTTCTTTTATATATCTGCAATGTTTGTAACTCAGTAAATGTTATCTCTTCCCCTTCTCTGTCTTTTCTTCTCTCTGTCATTCCTTTCTTTTTCTGTGATAACTCCTGTGATAATTCTTCTTCCTATAAAAACATGCTTTTAATTTTTCAAAAGCTAATCTCAGTAATTATGATAAACTAGTGGGCCTTACTACTAAGAACTGTATAAATACTCTCCTGTCTGGTTTGTTGCTAATTCATTGGAGGTGTATTACAAATAAGACAGCGTTTTTTAATTGAGCTAGCTGCTGTCTGAATCAAAAGAGGATAAAACACAACATTTGAATAGGGAGAGCAAGAAGCTTAATGAGAGGTTGTCATCAAAGTTGTTGAAGGAGGAAGGTGAAAAAGAATTGCATCCCTTACATTTGCTTCTCACTGAGTTCATATGGCTGACTGAAACTGTGTTAAACCCCAAGTGATCATCTTTCAGCCCTGACCAGAAACAAACAAACAAACAAAAAGAAACATTGCTCCTTGCACAGATGTATATAGCAAGAACTTGCCAGTAAATGTGCAGGAGATGCAGAGGGCAGGGGTGGTAATTTCCTGAAGCATTCATAGCTTCAGACTGATTGTCACTTCACTCTCTGCAAGATTCATCACAGTAAAGACTTGCAAGCAGCCCTGATATTTGGAGGCACTAGCATGTAGAGAAGCTCTGTGTGCCTTGTTGGAAACAGGACTCCCAGCTGTTTCAAAGCAAACCCAACAGACTTCCATTTTGCATGAGAAATGACTCATTCAAAATGAATATCTGGAACATGTTGGCTATCCTGTGCCTATTTATGTAGCTTCTCTGTAGAGAGCTTGAGTCAAGCCTGTTGATACCAGCAAGTGACTTTATTGGCTTTGAATGAAGCACATGAAGGCCTAACATGATAACAAAAGATGAGAATCTTGTCTGTCATCCCCTACATATGGTGATATTCTGGTACTGTATGAACAGTGTTTCTTAAAATGTGATTTACACATCTCTAGCTAAATTCTATCATCAATACACAAAAATGTGCAAGAAAATTGATTGTTGTTAATTTAGATTTGAAATAAATTAGATCTGTTCTATGATGCAATAAATACTGAATTAGAACCACCTTCCTCATTAAAAATACTCTATTATGAAGTTTTATAATATCTTGTAAGACAATAACAGTTATCAGTATCAGAAATTTCATCTGGAGATCCTCAAAAAAGTAGTGATGGTAGAAGGTAGAAACTTTTTTTTTTTTTTTTTTTTTTCCCCCAAGCACAGTAAAGGGGCCCAAACATAGCTTTTGATACAGAACTGAGATTTATTTATTTTTTATATATAATACTGCAAGAAATAATCTTGCTTTCTACAGAAAAGACAGTAGTATTTTTACCACATCGTCCATCACAGATTGGAAGGATTGCCTTGCCTTTCAAAGACTAGCGATTCCTCCAGCAAGAATATTGTATAGTATGTGAAGCTTTTGCCCTGTCTTGTAGTCACTCTACCTCTGCTTCCAGCCATGGGGCAATGAGTAGGCTCTGATTGCAGCTGCTTTGGAGCTGACATTAGAAATTTGAGAAAGAGACAGCACAGCTCCAGCTAAGCAGAACTGGGTGGTGTTCATCCACGTGGAGAAGAAACAGCTTGGAGAGGAAACTCCTCTACAGATGACATAGATATAAAATGCAATAAATTAACACAGACAAATTCAAACCCATTAAAAAAGTGACATGCTTTAGGTCTGATCCTGAAGATTTTGTCTTATTGATTCACTTATTTTTGTCTAATTCCTTGTACATTTTATTCCCTCTTTCACATGTTTGCAGCTTCCAAAATGAAACAATTTTTGTGTGAGGAATTCACATTTTCTTGTACTCATACCCATGTGTTACATTTAACTTATTTCTCAAGCATTTTATACAATGCTTTAACATCATTTGTGCTGTCCTATTTTTCTTTCTTTCCAAGAATATTTGCCTTTTTATGTACTGTCATATATACTCATGATACATGAAGGTGCAGTCTTATTGAAGTTATGTCGAGGAGTGAACAGTAATGAATTTTGAAGTCAAAGGGTTTTTTGTTTGTTTATTATAGCCTTACAGATGCCTGAATATATTTTATTATAGATGTCACATTCTAATACGTCAAAAATATTTAAATCAAATAATAAATTCGTGGCTTAATGTTTGGGCTGTAACAAGCACATCTCTTAGATAACTTAGAACTGCATATGCAAACCACACAGAAAAAAGCAGAAAGTTGCAGTGTTTTCACCATCAGCTCCTTCAATGAAGCATCATTCTGTCTCCATGACCTTGTCTCTGCAGATGTACTACATGAATCTAAATTTTATTTTAGGTTTTTATTTTTATTTTATGCTTCAGTTTCCCTAATCATGGAATTGTTCTCCCTAGTGCGTATGATGCATTTAGAGTACTGGCAAGACTTTACAAAATTGACTAATAATTACTAATGTGAGGACAATAAGAACAAAGGAGACAAACCTGAATGCTAGAATGAATTTGATATATTCAGTCAAACATGATCTATTTCCTTTTCTCTAAATTAATAATTAGAAAATGAAATTAAAACCCTGAAGCTGCTGAAGACTAAAGTTTAAATCACCTTAAAATTGCTAAAGTCCAGAGGAAAGCATATTCAATGTTTCATATATTATATTATATATATTATATATTATATTATATATGAAGCATTGAATATTCTATATAAGAAACTCTAAGAAAATTCTAAGAAGATAAAGAGAATAATATATACTTTAATATATGCTTTGAATTGAAGCATTGAATATAGAATATTCTATATTCATATAGAATATATATAGAATATATATATATAATATATATAGAATATAGAATATTCTATATTCAATGCTTCAATTCAAAGCATATATTAAAGTATATATTATTCTCTTTATTTTCTTTTGGGTGAATTATAACATTTTCTCGCTACAAGGACATCGAGGTGCTTGAGCGGGTCCAGAGAAGGGCGACGAAGCTGGTGAGGGGCCTGGAGAACAAGTCCTACAAGGAGCAACTGAGGGAGCTGGGCTTGTTCAGCCTGGAGAAAAGGAGGCTCAGGGGTGACCTCATTGCTCTTTACAGATACCTTAAAAGAGGCTGTAGCGAGGTGGGGGTTGGTCTATTCTCCCACATGCCTGGTGACAGGATGAGGGGGAATGGGCTTAAGTTGCGCCAGGGGAGTTTTAGGCTGGATCTTAGGAAGAACTTCTTTACCGAAAGGGTTTTTAGACATTGGAACAGGCTGCCCAGGGAGGTGGTGGAGTCACCATCCCTGGAAGTCTTCAAAAGACGTTTAGATGTAGAGCTTAGGGATATGGTTTAGTGGGGACTGTTAGTGTTAGGTCAGAGGTTGGACTCGATGATCTTGGAGGGCTCTTCCAACCTAGAAATTCTGTGATTCTGTGATTTTCATCAGAAAATATCAGAAAAAAAGTTTTCATTATTTTCTCTTCTCTTCTTCTATTTTAATTTATTTATTTTTTTAATTCTCTCCTCAAATAACACATTATTGTTTCCCCACTGTATGATATTACTATCGAGATGCCAGTTCATATTTCTCAGGAAGAATGTAGAATCATAGAATCATTAAGGTTGGAAAAGTCCTCCAAGATCACCTGGTCCAACCATCCCCTACCATCAATATCACCCACTAAACCCTGAGCACCACGTCGAACCTTTCCTTAAACACCCCCAGGGACTGTGACTCCACAACATCCCTGGGCAACCGGTTCCAATATGACCAATACGACACAGATTTCTCTGGGAGTCTTGGGAGTCTTGCATTATCTCACCGTGGAATGCAAGCAGTACCCAACCAATAAAAAAAAAAAAAAAAAAAAAAAAAAAAGGTGGGAAAGTCTTGTTTTTGACAAGAATTTCCACAGATCCAGGGTGTAATTTCTGACCCAGGTGCAAGACTTAGTTTTTGGTGAGAGATGTCATTCACCCTGGTTATGAAAAATCCTTATCTCCAGTAGAGTTTCAAACCAGTAGAGTAGAGATTTTGACCCTGGGGTTGTCTACCAGTAAGATAAAGGTCTTAATAATGAGGAAATCAGGATTTGTATGGTACAAAGAGAGCATATATCTTGAAATCCTTTCTCAAAGAAAGGATTACAAGCCTTCATTGCTTCTGAGATAATTTGCTTCAACATAGTGCTGAGTGGTCTTTATAAAGAGTTACTGAAAAAAGTGGAATTGGCCTTGGATGTTTCCACAGAGCATCTGTTTACAAGTGAATTACTAGTTTGCTATAAAGGAGAAGAGTTCACTTGTCACTGTGGTTCTCCAGCCATGCTTACCAATTGTGCTGTTATCTTGCAGTGTGGTAGAAACTGTTTCCCTTTCTATCTTGGACCTGTGACTGTGATTTGTTCTTAAGGGCCGCAGTGAGGAAATACACATCAGTAGGTATTGGCCTACACCCATACAGCAGTATATAGGAATGCGAGTTCCAAGTTACGTGAAAGACAGACTGCAAAAGCATGATTTAAACTGCAAAAAGGTTAATTTACATACATTCAAATATAGCTAACCACTGCTTATACACTGGATGGTTGTTTTCATTGCAATGACTGAATCTAAAGAACCTGAAGCTGAAACAAAGGAGTTAAGCACAATCTAATCATCATAAATTTTTAAAAGGCAACACTGGAAGAAATGACAGATTCTAAAAACATATTAATAGGCTAGAAAAAGTTGGGTTATGTTCTTGGAAACATTGCAAAGACAGTGACAGAGGTATTTTTATAAGTTTGTGAAGCAGAAGTGAATACAGGACAGAAGGTAAGACTAGCCTGCAAGTCTAAATTAGATTGCTACATAATATGGTTCACATCAGCTGCTGTTAAGTGAAGTCTGAGTCAGAAATAGGAACTTCACAAAAAACATCCTTCTCAAAAGAAAATTAGAGGAATATAGTAAGATGAATGACCAGTCATTTTGGCTACATAACAGAAGCAAGATTTTTTACTTTTATTAAAAATGAAAGAAAAGAACAAAGGGAAATAAAAGTTGATGAGAGGGAAGAGTTCTTCTCCAAAATCTATTTTTTTGACAGATGCCCTCATACTTTCATAAATGTGAAATTGATATCTAAACCTAACCTCATCAATAACATATAAAAGACAAATAACACAGAGCTTCAGTACTTTTTAATCATTTCAATTGACTCATCTTTTCTGTGGACTCATTTTGTTCATCACAGTCCAGTTGTGATTAACCTGTAAGGAACTAAAATGATGATACTGGCTACAGAGTTTTGCATGCTGTTTGCCTAGGTGCTACTCTACCTTAATTTTGGCTACCTGAGAGGCAATCAAAGATAGAATAGCCTTGGACACATAGTCACAGTATTTGTCACTTAGGAGGTGTCTGTGTGAAATGAGAGCTTTTCTTGCAGAGAGAGAGATTTTTATCAGCTTCATGAGAGACATTTCAACTGTGCAGAAAAAAAAAAAAAAAAAAAGGAGAAACACTTCATAAACATTACATATTTTGTATGGGTCATATGAGGCATTGACCTTGTTTTCACATTGCCTCTGTTCTCCTTTTACGGTCCTGTGTAATACCAGTCCTGATAAGGAGGAAAGTATATTAAAATCACTGTACAGAGTTAACCTAGCAGCTTCCAGTTTCCTTGGAAAAAGTTTTACTTAGCCAATGAAGTTTTATAACTACCAGCAACAGTTTTCAGGGCAATCCTAAACCAAAATCCATAGAAAAGGACCATGAGGATGATATCCATTATCTGGAATCAGGTATCTGGAAGATATACATACACTACCTTTCATAAGAGTAGATTTATAGAGAAAAAGAGCTGGTAATAATAATCTGATGCCTACTCCCATTCCAAGTATTTTTATTCTGGATTTTTTCTATTCTGGTCCTGTAGTCTAAATGCATGCTTCCAGCTGGAGTATACTATATGATCTCCTGAAGGTTTTCTTCCTGTTTAAATTTATCCAAAAAGAACCCAATTCATGCATTCTATATATTTCCCCATAATGATGACAGAAGCACAGTAAATGGGTGACTGAGATACTTACTGTAGAAGTGTACTTCTGTTTTCAGCTAAAATATTTATGTGGGTAAGCTACAGATGGTGCATAGGAAGATATACATGTATGAAACCTATCAAAATCAGAGAGTTGAACAAAGTCAGTGAAACAAAGGATACACTGAGATATCTGTCTTAAATCCCACAGCAACTACAATGCCTTAGCTTGCACTAAAGAAAGGTATTATCAACCATTTGAATTCACTGTGCATTATAATTTTGCATAAGTAGAGGTGGAGTTCATCTGAATAAATAAATATATATATAAGTCCCTTTCCTTGGAAAATCAATGCTATAGCCAATCAGCCAATACCTGCAAATCTGGATTTTTATTTATTTATTTTCCAGTTGTCAGCTATTTTCTGCCCTATGCTATTCCCAGCTTATTCTTTCCCTTGGTCTTTTAAATTCTTGAATGTTTTTCACCTTTTCTCCAAAAAAAAAAAAACATTTCTGGAGGGGGAAGAAAGAATCCATTAAAAGAATGCTTTTAATGACCTCATGCTAACAGAACTATTGACATTTACTAGTTACCAAAACATCATTGCTGCTCTTCTTCCCTTTTGCCTATGTCTTTGATTTTATATTAGTATGTTCTTACCTTCTGTGTGATTGTGAAGAGTTTTGTACAATTTCCACACAAATAAAAGCAGAGCTTAGTTTTTCCTAAGAGGTAGTGTCAGTTTTGTTGATAGTACAGTAGGATTACATAAAATTAAATCACAAAGGATGGAAGTCCAATTGAGGTTGAAGACTAACCAGGTAAAGAAAGCTGATATATTTTTCATTATTTATTTATTTATTTTTGTGCTGAGCTAACCTAAAATTCTCAAAAGCTAAGAAGTGTATGTCCAAGGGAAGGAAAATGAGTTTTGAGTCAAGCTTCCACAGAAATCTTTGATGTTCTAAAAATAAAACATCATCTCTGAACTCTTTACAGCTGAAATTCACCCACAAACTTGTTCATTAAAGGCTGCAGCCTGTTGTCCCTCCTCACTTTTTCCTAACCCCTAGCTGATTTTGAGTAAAGGTGGCAGAATTAGTTACTCTAGTTGCGTCAACTGTTTGTGGAAAATGTGCTCCAGACTTATCCAAGAATTACACAGGGTGTTTCCCTCTGTTCATGTGGTCACAATTAATTAATTAATTTATGTAAGTTTAGTAGGACACAGATCAAACATTTTAAATAATCTTAACACTGCAAAGTCAAAAAAGGGTCATGTAATTTTGCAAATAAAGGTCTGAGCATGCTTAAAATAGTTGCTTTGCAAGAAATAATGTGTAAAATTTGATCAGAGAGGATTTCAAGGCTATAAACATTAAGGTAGGTAGCAGAAGAGCCAGATGGGCTCTCTGAAGGAATTCTGCTTGTTCTCCCTGTACAAGGAGGACCAAAGATACATATTAAAGAAGGTCCAGGTTGTCTTTCAGAGCTAGAGTTCAAAAGCAACCCTGCTTGGACACCCTCTGTTAAAGAAAGAGCTTAATGCTGAGGACTTAATGAGTCTCAGTGATGCTAAACATCTGCCCTTCACTAGCTGTGACATTGTGAGTCTTTTTCAATTCGAGATTTTAGGATTGCATAATTAAATGCATCCTGAAAGGATGCCAGTAATTGATTTGAGACACTGTTAGGTAAGCTGCCTATTTTTAGTGTTATTTTGGGGGATGTGTACAACCAATCAATGATACTTTGGCTATCTTTAAAGCTACTAACAAAAAATATGCAAGCTGCATTATATACAGATAAATAGCCAGACTGCCCGCTGATTTAGATGAAGTCTTGCTACTGCTTTACTCCTGTATTAGAAATGCTGAGATCTGGCAGCTGTCCAGCTCTGTATATTCTTGAACAGTGTCCACAGTACAAAGCTGTCGGGGCTGACCTTTCCATGCAGAGCATCACACCTTTGGGCGCTTTGAGATCCTGGAAAGGAGCCTAGAAGCAACACGCTCTAGAAGAGGAGGCCAAATCTACCAGAGAGAGTTTTGTGTCATGGACCAAAGTCAAAAACAAAAACAAACAAACAAACAAACAAAAAAACACAAAGCTTTGCCTTGAAATTCAGGCTCAGGACACCTGAAGGACAAGATGATAGAAAAGGCTATTTGGAAACCATCCCTGTCATACTAGAGAGGGCAAGTGAGGCTGAGGTATGCTAGCTGCTCTATGTTAAGTTTTCCTCCTTAGTTCCTCCTCAGTTCGCCCCAAGTCCTGTGTAATGCGTATTTGAGGGTGTTCTCTGTTTTTGTGTTATAGAATCCAAGTGGCAACCACTATGGACAGCGGCAACCACTATGGAGTCCCCAGAATATCATAAGGTTAAAATTTAGTAAGGAGGATCCGAAGAAATTTGCACATGATGGTAAGGTTTATTTTCAAGTTAAAAAGAATATATCTCATTATGGAAAATCACAATAAGAGGGTATAAATGGCCCAAACATTTAAAAATTTGTTACAGACCAAAGTTGAGGTGTCACAATATCACAATAACCTTTGTTCTGCCCCAGAGTGCTTCAGGAGATCCTACCTTCACACTGTCAGAGGTTATGAAGAACCTTTACTAGAAAACCGTACCAGTGTTACTTGCTTTTAGGACTTGTACCTTCTTTTTTGGTGTGATTATTGATTTTTGTAAGTCATAGGTGTAAAAGTACGACTGTGTGTGCTGAATTCACTACTGTACAACAATCTTTGATTACAAGGACCATGTACTGTTTCTCATATAACACAATAGATTATATGCAAGAGAATGACCTTATCATTAATCAAGACTGGAGATGTCTACTCTTAAATGTGGTGCACTGAAATATTTATGGGAAAATTTTCTCAATCAGAGAAGAAAGAAACATTGCAGAAGCATCGTACTTTGTTTTCATCCTCTCTAATAAGTTTCTCTATTAGAGTATGCTTTAACAGAAGGTTGAACCTGCTCCAGTAGCTGCTCAAATACAGAAACAAAACAAATAATCTCATAGTTATAGTCTATCTGGCTAGAGATGATGATGAATGCCAAATAAGAATTTTGCATGAGTCTAAGTTGAATGTCCTGCTGAAAGCGTGGCCTATGAAGCAGTATTAGCCTCTGAGTGGCAGTAGTAGTCGTCTGTGCTCTGGTTTCTTTCTTTACTTATAAAAACATTAAAATTTAAAATCTGTTTTAGGCTTCCATAATAAATGTTATGTTCAAAATATTAAATAAAGGAAAAAAAAAAAAAAAAAAAAAAATATATATATTTCCCCAGAGCTAAATATTTCTGTGTTCATTGGTCACATTTGGCTATGACATTGAGGCAGAAATATCTCTGAAAACACTCCTATTTGCCTTCTGGTTGAATTTGAGAATGTCTCTCAACAAATAAATTTGTTAGTGTGGCAGTCCAGTCCATGTCTAAATTGGATAGAGTTAAATCCCAAGATTTTTCTTTTCCTTCCTTCCTTCCTTCCTTCCTTCCTTCCTCTTCCTTCCTTCCTTCCTTCCTTCCTTCCTTCCTTCCTTCCTTCCTTCCTTCCTTCCTTCCTTCCTTCTTTCCTAGAAGAGAGTAGGGGAGCAGCTTGTTCATTTAGCAATTTTGCCACAGCCCTGGATCTTGAATACCACAGAAGGATGAATTACTCTTTGGATGTGTGTTGTTACTCTTCCTTACTTAGGAACGATAAATCACAGATAGATTAATCCCCAGCTTCAGTATTAGGGAAATGGGTTTATGTACCTGCTGGTCAAGGATACCAGCTCTTTCTTTGGTCAGTATCAGCTATGAAAATTGAAAAAGAACACTACTTGTAATTTACCATACATCTATAATTTGGCCAAAGGAACCAAGAATAAATAGGCTGTCATATAATTAGGCTCTTTGTGATTTGGAAGGAGATACTGGAGACAACAGCAAGAGTCTTAATTATAGCTGAAACAAGAGAAAGAAGGAGCTTCTGTTCATCTCCTATTCAGGAACAATCAAGCATATTTTGATCTCTTGAAAGGTCTTTTGTGAAGCTGTCCTGCATTTCTGTGACTTCAGATAAAATTTCTGTCAAACATTATTGTTAAAATAGCTGAAGAGAATGTAATGAGCAGCACAGCCAGCTGCTCCTTGGGAATCACTGCTGTGGTGATTATTTTAGGATAGTCTCACAGACTATGTCTGCACTGTTGGGCTGCGTATTCTACAGTATCTCTTCTGTGCAATAAGACTGGCCATTCTGCTGGGATAAAAGCTCAGCTGGGTACATTAATACAGCTGGAGTAAAAAACAGTTGACTAACTGGAGTCATAAAACTTAGTCCTAGAAAGGAGAAAGGATAAAGAGTGTTAGCAGAAAACAGACAGGGATTTCATTCAGTACTTAACCGAATCAGCTGAAAGATGTGTAAAATAGCTGGAAAACAGAAAAGAAAAGGGAAAGGGAAAGGGAAAGGGAAAGGGAAAGGGAAAGGGAAAGCGAAAGGGAAAGGGAAAGGGAAAAATGAAAGGAAAAGAAAAAAGGAAAAAGGAAAAGGAAAAAGGAAAAGGAAAAAGGAAAAGGAAAAGAAAAGGCACAACCACTCCAGTGTTTCCACTAGATGGATTCCAGCCATTGTTTCCACTTCTGTGCTCTAAAGACACAGATTTTTCCTGTTACTATTTTGATGAGTAACCATATTTTCTATTGTTTAGATTATTTCCCTGAAGGTCAAAAGAGCAAAATAAAAGTGTTTCATTAGCAGTTAAATTGCTTGTTACAGAAGCAATTAAGCGAAAGAAAGTTCCCAAGAAGGTACCTAGTTAAGGAAAAAGATCTTGTTATAGTTTATGTTCCAAAATAATGTTATAATGATGTGAAACGAAATCTTTTAAGGGGATGCTCTGCATGAAGTCCAACTAGACTCTGAAAAGAGTATATTCAGGTAGACTCCTAATGACAGCAAGGATTCTCACTCTTACTGCACAAAACTGGCAAAAGAATTAATTTTATTTCTATTTAACATTTCAAGTAAATATTATACAACAAGTGACTCCAAGTAGTAATAATAATAATAATAGCAATAACAAAAATAATAATAAATAATATTAAATAATAACCATACTAACTTTCTGTGCTCTTATTTTTAGAGGCCGTTAAACAAAGAGTACACAGGAACTGACCAAAAATTCCCAACCTCATATGTATGACATAAAGTGAATTACATATATGACATTTCTAAAATGGTCCACAGCAACAGTGGAAAATATTGTGTCTACAGAATCATTGGACTCTGTGAAAGAAGTCATGTCCCCAAATGGCTCCTGCAGTTGGTTGATTTTCAGTCCTTTACATCATGCCCTACTCTTCCCATCCTACCTACAGCCAACTGGCGTAAGTTGGGGCCAACCAACTTCCTTTTGCAAAGGTAATGTATGTATGCTATTGTTTTTCCTGCCTGTTTTTGTTTTTGTTTGTTTTTCCTTAATGTTTTCTCCTTGATCACCTGTAGACCTTCTATTTCTTGGAGCAGCTGGTCAGTAAAAATATTTTCAGTTCTGTCATGACAAATACAGCCCACATGTAACCAACCTCTAAGCTATTTTAAGAAAAAGAGGAGTCAGAAGATTAACAGAAGTAAAACCAATCTTCAAATACTTGATGTTCTAAAATATTGTTGTGGCAAATTATTAAAAAGATAGTCAGCTTTAACCTAAATAACTTGGAAATCTTGTTTTAAGTAAACAAGTTTATGAATAACAATGACAACAACAAAAAAGTACCCCACAAGCATAGGAAGTAGCTGTTGATTTTATGTAAAGAGGTGCATTTCAAGAAACTTTCTTTATTGTTTATTTTGGGGTTAGCTGAAAAGCAGTGAATATATCTGTATGAAAATACTGGTTTGCAGTTTAAAAACTGATAAAGAGCTTTTTGATTGCACTTTTCCTTAAGACAATATTTGCATTATATTATAAAAGTTTACTTTTTTTAAGCTGTTGAAGAAACTAATATTTTGACAAGGATTTAGAATATATATATATATATTTATATAATTTAGTTTTTGTCCATTATTAATGAAGACAAAATAAACACTTATTCCTCAATTTCCAGTAGGGCACACTCCACTCCGAAAAGAACAGTCATTTCATTAACAATGATCTTGGCCAGCTTTGGACTGTATCCTTGTAGGATGTAATATCTCACAGCACAGGCCCTATGGCCCCAATTTTCTTGATGTTTATAAGAAATTGCTTGTGTCAAGGATTAAATTGAACATAAAGCATTGAGTTTAGGCATGCATTTAAGCACTTTGCTTATGAAAGATCACAGGCATTATTCACGCTGGTAATAATAATTGATAAAGTATTGATTAAAGCATCTATAAGTAAAAGAGCCATTAAATAATTTATATTCTGTAGTGCTCCCCTGCTAAGAAAAGCATAATTGGAGTTTACTCATAGTCTCATGCACAAACATTACAAATGGTGAAAATCACTAAGCTCATAGACATCTGTAACAGCTGGCACCAGGCTGTTTACTCCATCTATAGCCCATGTGTATGTCTGGCCCTTTGGGCATAGGATGTGAAGAAGGTAATATAAGGGAAAGGCATCTGTGAGGAAGTTGCTGTGGATCAGATGAGAATGGAGGACAGACTGGGAAAAGGCTGTGGCCACAGATAGGCAATACAGGGATCAAAGATAAAGGGATGGGGTGAATTTGGGAGCAGAGGTGCTGTGGTGACATGCTGAGGGTCAGTGGAGATCTTTGAGATCCCCAGACCTGCAGTCCTGTCTTCATGTCCCAGATGAATCCTTCTCCTTCTTGTCCCAGCCCCAACCCAGACATTCTGTTAGTGTCACCTCAGTAATACCTGTCCCCACTCCTCCTACAGTCTGGGAAAGAGATATGCATCCTTCTACTTGGTTGTGGCTGCCTAGCAAAATCGTGTACCAGCATCACTGCTGCTTGAAGATGGGCAGCTGTTCCCAGAGTCTATTCATGCTAGTTGCAGGACACATGATTAAAGCAGCTACAGCAATAAGCCAGTGCAGTCTGGACAGCAATCTGAACTAAAACTGGACAAAGGGGTGAGCTGTGGTGTGACATGACCTTTGGTTGGACTGCTGCTACCATCCATGCTAGTTAAATGAAAGCTAGTGGAGTATTTCTTCACCTTGCTGTAGGCAGAACAGTGATACACACATGGTATAAAAGAAATCTTGGGAAAGTGTCTCTTTCAATTGTCATGTTGAGTTTTGAGCAGCCCGAGTCTTACGTGCACCTTGCATGCCTCATATATACCCTGCTCATGTCTTTGCCACCTATAGACTGAGGACAACAGTTGAGTACCCAAATGTGATGGCTCATTTGAGAAAGCCTTTAGGAAAGGAAATTGAACAGAATTTTTTATAGACTGGTTCAGTAAAAGCCAGTGGCCAGAAACTGAATTCATACCAAATTAATTTACTGTGCCAGGTCAGTTTGGAGAAAAGGATGCTGGTTTGCAGCTGAAAACTCCATTTGTTTTTTAGATTGCATTATTGATTTATAAAGCACCAAACACCATGTGGACCCTGAATGTATAACTAAATTAGTTATTCTTCAGAAATATCAGTAAAATGCAGAAAAATATCTTATGTTTGGATGAAATAGGGACATAAGGGACATTCCAATTTATTTAACTGTCTTTTATTAAAAAAAAAAAAAAGTAAATCAATATTTTAAGCAAGATAATTGTCATGTGCCTTTGTAGATATCTTAAACCTGTTACTTGGCTGAGAGATACAGTAAAGAAAAAGCAATAAGGTAGTGGCTATACAATATGCATAAGGTGAGTGATAAAATTGCTTAGACTTCCCTTTCTTACACAACTCTTAATTTATTTAATGTCCAGAGTACCTTATGGGCTATGAAAAGATTACAGCTGTAGTCACTGGACTTTGCACTAAAGTACAACAGAAAATAACTTAAATAAAGTTGTTGATTCAGTGAGACTAGACTTCTATTTAAGACCAAAATTAAGAAAGTAGACTCCCCCTGAGAATTTAAAATTAATTACCTGCCAAAGAAACTTAAAAATGCATTATAAGAATACAAAAATACAAATAAATAAATAAATAAAATGTTACAGAACTGCCCCTCTGAGAAGATAATTATTTTTATTTTGTCATTTTAATTACTAAACTGCAATTTGTTTTTATTTGTCATTATGAAGTTTGAATTTTTGATGCAAATAGTTCTACTTAGTTTTAATGCTTTTATTTCAGTCACTTGCTCAGGTGGCTTGTGGTTCTTATTCTAATACATAAATAAAAGAATGTAAATGCTCTTTTCATTTTAGGTTTACAGTTCAGAAAAAGCATCTCACAATTTAGATTATACGTGGTCATGATGAAACAGCATGCCTTAAAATGTTGCTGTGGTGACTCATGGGACATTTTAACTTACTCTGTAATCACATTCTCCTGGCTGCTTAAATTCTGTTCCTGAATGTGACCAAGAATTCTTTTATCAAAGCACACTAAATCAAGCCCTATCTCAAACATATGGCACATTGGCTCTGCACCCTATTTCTTTCATTGAATATGAAATTCCACATGCACCCATGTTCATCCTGGCCACCAGACTAGGAAGAACACCACTGTTTTTACATTCAGTGCTTTGCCATGAAGACCAGTCCATTTAATATTCTGAGGGCCTAAAGTGTTTTGACAGGCTTTTTCTGTCCACAGGAAAGGTTGCTATTCTTTTGTGGAGCAGACTGATGAATAATAAATCTCTGATTCCTGGAGGGGATTTTGGGTACGACTGCAATAGCACTAGGGCCAGATTTGCAATGCAGTTAACTGTCTGGTAGCTCCCATCATTCTCAGAACTACTCAAGATCCAGTCAGCCAATTTTTAAGTTCCTAATTCCTGTTTAGACAATGAGAGCTTGGTCTTGGTCTTGAGTTTCAGTGCCACAGTCCTGTGTCTAACTTCACATTCAGAGGGCAGGCAGCAGAGCTCTCCACTGACAATAGTAGGTCCTTCGGTGAAGCCTGGACTGATACACTTATCAGTGCAGTTGGATTACCTCTAAATTCAGTGTATACTTTCAAAATCTGAACTAATCAGTGTCCCATGTTCTCAGCAAACAAGTGTCAAATTTCAAAGTAGGTGTGATAAACAGTGACAGGAATCTGGTTAGTGAAGCAGGCAGTGCCATGGCGGGGACCTGTTCTACCTATGGATGCCTTAGAAGCCAAGAACTAACATTTTAAGGATCTTGAAGAAAACTTTAAGTTAAGGTTCCTCAAGCATTTAACAAGACAAGGTGAGGTTTTCCTATTTTACCCTCTCCAGTTTATCCTTGCTTGTGTAAATTTGACTCAATATTTAATCAGCCTGAAGTGCTGTGTTGAATTCCACCTATGAAGAACATGAGTAAAATATGCAAAAAATATTTAAAATATTTCAAATAACTTGGGGGGAGGAGATTTAAACTTATTTGATCCTTTCAGAGGATTATAATAATAAAGCAACCTGCCATTTGTAAGCAGGTTAGAGGAATGTGTGACATAAGTGAAAAACACCAGATGGCTCCACATCATTAGAAATCAGGCTTTCCCAGAGTTTGAGCAGGAGGAGAAAAGGTGGACCTGGGGAGAGAGACTGCAGTGAAACTGCACCTTGGAAGTAGGGTGGAATGGACCTGTAAAACTGATTTAGTAAATCTGTGCTTTGTTTAATATACTTTTAATTATAGCTGGGAGGGAGGGGATATAAAAATGAAGAGTTGAAATTAAGTGAAAAATTAATTTGATGTCTGAAGAGGATAAAAATAACTCAATGAAGGACCATTCTGAAACTACAGGAGATATGTTAATTCCTGGTTTAAACCAGGTTGGACCTATTTCACTGATTAATCCTCCTTGACAGATAAAGGTCTCCTAGATTTGATATTTCATTATTGTTTTTATTTTTAATATAACTTTTATGGATCTGGAGACTTTTTCTGAACATGTCTACTCTTGTGCAACCCTATTGACACCCAAGGAAAATAGTACAGAATAATAAAAACAGTAAAAGATAAATTAGATCAGCTGTTTTTTGTTTTGTTTTGTTTTGTTTTGCTTTTGTTTTTTAACAACCTTTGATGTTAGGGACTAAACAAAACATTTAGCTGTGTATATTCTATCCATTCTTTTTGTTTCTTCTCATAGTGTAAAAGAAGGCTAGGAAGAAAGCCACTGTATTTCTTTTTGTAATGAATGTGCTATATTCAGTGGTTTCATAACACACAGGTACTGAAGGGTGTAGGAGAGTTGATAAAGGTGCATTCCACTGTGAATAAAAGGAATGAACAGTCCTAGGGAAGCACTACATCTATGAATAATAGGTTATTCCTTTGCTGAATCACTGAGTACAGTGGCG